ATCATAAGCTTTAAATTACAGAACTGGTAGAATAAAGCGAGATCGGATGACATCTCAGTTATACAGCACAGTTTTGGACGTGTAATCATTGGAAGAATTCAGTGTAACACCCGCTGTCATATGTACTACTCAAATCCAAAGCCGTAGTCTTAAAGGTAATGTAGTGTTTTCCCTACTGTTTTCTTAATCCAAGAGCTCTATGCGTAATAAGTATGAGGCTGTGTGGAAATCCTGCCAAATCGTTTAATCGATAAGAGCATTGCTGCATTAGAAATTCTCTTTATTGCATGCACAACAACGACAGAACCACCAAGAAGCTGGAATACCGAAATCTTACGCTTTTGCCCTCGCTCGTCGCCAAGGTCGCGGTTAAAAGGGATGACTCGAAAGGACCTCATTAAATATTCTATAGAAAACATATTTTTATGTTTTCTTTGGTTTACAGTTTATTGGATTTTCACTACAAATATGTTTTCTAGAATATTTAATGAGGTTCTTTCCAGTCATCCCTTTTAACCGCGACCCATCGGGGCCAAAGTGTGTCCGACTTCTAAACTGTCTAGGACATCTTACTTTACTTTTCACAGCATAAATTAATGAACTTACAATAGCTCTAAAAGACCCTGTAACGCGTTTGTACTACCACATGACTTGCAATTTCCGAAACTTGCTTCGTTTGCAGCAGTTATTGATCAAACCCACCCTATCTCCGGGATGGCTTCCGGTTTCAGCCTCGCTTGCAAACGATAACTTGTCAGGATTACAGGGTATGCTGGGAAAAACGAACGGTCGATTGAAGTTTCAAGTATTAATAGATTTGGTGTTTTTTTTCACAATAAAAACTTTGAGTGCGTGGAATTATATCAAAGCATTCTTCACTTCAGCTCTCCCAGTAGTTTCCTTCGCAGCCGTCTTTCGGGATGTCTGGGGGAGCGTTGCGTGACATCCCGAAAGACGGCTGCGAAGGAGACTACTCTCCCGGTAGCCTTCAATTTACTCAGAGTTCAGATCTGAAAATATCAAGGATCAGAAGTCGGATCATGGATTTCCTCAGCAAAAATTTCGTAATCACCTAGGAATGTTCTCCTCATTCGCTCATTTTGTGTGTGTACACCTGCCGGCTTTTCTTCCCTTTGCGTTTGTAATTTTTACCCAAAATAAGGGGGGGGGGCGGGTCTCCCGGGCCCTCCTCTGGATCCGCCAGTAATAACGACCCCCTCCTGCATCCTCCAACACCATCTGGCGAGCGTCAACAGATATGTAAAAAAAACATCAACAATAAGCTGCCTGTAGGTATTAGAAACTTAACTGAGTACATTCCCTTCTGTCTTAGTGTGAAGAGATATCTTTTATGTGGAGAGAGAGAGACAGAGAGAGAGAGAGAGAGAGAGAGAGAGAGAGAGATAGAGACAGAGAGAGATAGAGACAGAGAGAGAGAGAGAGAGAGAGAGAGAGAGAGAGACTTCATTAGTATGTACATTTACAATCTAATTAAGGATAGAGTGCAGCTAGATCGAAGTACTTACCTTAGCGATAAGGATCTTGTGATCGATCAGGTCCAAGGCTTTCCTGTAATCAAATAAGATAGTTCTAACAGAAGAGCAGTTGCCATCTGCAGCATTCGTCCAGCAACGAAACATTTCCAGCAAAACTAGGGTCGTAGAGGATTTCGGTACAGCGCCGTATTGGCGATCGTCTAAAATTCGTAAAGCGGCGGGCTTGACATAATTAGTAACGACTAAATCCTCAGCCAGATTACAAAGACATGGTGTAAGGGAAATAGGTCTTAAATCCTTCTTTACGTCTTTAACGAGTTTCCTTTTAGGGATTGGTGAGACATCGGCAAGTTTCCACATGCTGGGTAATCGTTGTTCCTTGAAGTAGGCATTTAAGATTTTAGTGAAGGATTACGCAAGAAACACTCCGTATTTCCTTCAAAAGCAAGTTAGGAATACCATCAGGGCCACAGGCTTTAGTTGAATCCAGCTTGCACAACAGTTGGTAAACCTGATGTTCGGCAACTTCAGGGAATTCTGGTGCGTCCTCCAAGGGTAGTGGCACAAAAGGGTCATCCATCCGGTATTCTTCTAACAGTTCTAGGAATGCGCAATTGTGAGGAGCTTTAAGCAACAAACACAATTTTAAATTTTTTCCCTTTTTTTTATTTCTTATCTGTATATTCTCATTTTTTAGAGTTGATTTATAGTGTAGATATTGTATATGAAGAACCTCACTTTGTTGGATACTCTGCAATAAATCATCATTATTATTATTATTATTATTATTATTATTATTATTATTATTATTATTATTATTATTATAACAACAAAAAAAGAGTAATTTCGTTTGAAAATCCACATGAACATATTTCCAGCTATCGCCTCTCGAAATTTTGCTCGGGTGGTTAATGTCTTCATCAAATCACCGAACTGGTTTATTACCAGTCTCAAGAGGTCCAATATTCCCCAGGACTCTGGCCTCCAACCCAGACCTCCTAATTGCAGTTCAGCGAGTAGGGTTCTTTGACTTCTTTGAATGTTAACTTATGGCTGAGTACATGTTCCATCAAAGCTGATGGTACTGATTGAGTCGAAATATCAGTTTCGGTACATTCACTATACAATAATTTCATTTTCACACCAAGATTACTTGATGCTGAAGATTAATTCTCCCATACAGACCTCCCGCTCGGTTACTAAAAACTAAATAATGACTTCAGTCCTCTCATAACTTGACCACCGATATCGACTTCTGCAACCCGTTTTCCTTCTAGTTCATTTCCAAGTCCTCCCAACACCTCACGAGTGTCACCGACAAATCGGCTTACAAACGTTTTGTATCTTCGCGCCATATCTTACTTTACATACAGTGAAGATTAATTCTCCCATACAGACCTCCCGCTCGGTTACTAAAAACTAAATAATGACTTCAGTCCTCTCATAACTTGACCACCGATATCGACTTCTGCAACCCGTTTTCCTTCTAGTTCATTTCCAAGTCCTCCCAACACCTCACGAGTGTCACCGACAAATCGGCTTACAAACGTTTTGTATCTTCGCGCCATATCTTACTTTACATACAGTGAAGAGGAGAAACAGCTACTGAACATGGAGATAACTTGCCTGCTTCGTTTATTTAAACACTTTGCATGGATTCTTTCCTCTCAGCTTCTGTTGAAGTGCGACTTAGTGCTGAAAACTTTACTTGGTCGGATGGTTCATCGGCACCAGWTTTCCGTCGGCAAATTCCAAACTTACAATAGGCCACGGTTAAAATAACACTAACCAAACCGAGAACTGCGGCGCTGCTTATCAAAGCTACTTCTGTCTTCGTCAAGCCTGTAACACAGTAAAAGTTTCGTTAAGTACGAGGATCACACGAAGCACAAGAGAACACTGAATAGATCGAGCTTATTCTAGGAGCAAAGGAGTGCCTGTAGTCGTAAGCTTTTATCGATTTTCAATTGAAAGTCTGAGGATGTGAAGCAGGCGTAAACGAGCATATTCACTTCGCGTTTAATGGACATCACAAAGTATTCTCATCAATAAAATTTTACCGAAACACACCTGATTATGTTGTTTCATTATCAGTGGTGTTACGTTCAGGGTAACCGCTGGGGTCAAGCAATCTTTTTAGAGGCAATGGCAATAATAACATGTGTCAAGGGATGTGTCTCTGTTACCCTGGAGAAACAACAAAAACAACTAAATCTGGTTCACCTTCACGGCGGGTAACAGGAGCAACAATATCCGGTATGGCTTCTGTACTTGTAGTCACGTCTAATAACATGTGCGGGGGATAAAAATTTTTATTAAAAACATGTCACACAGAGGAAAAAACATCAGTAAACTTAAACTGTACTTGTAAACAGTTGTGGAGAAAAGACTTTATTTCGTCAAAACATTTGATTTGGATGTAATCCAAAAGAGGTCCGCGGATCAGTGGAGGAATCATTTTCACGGGAAGAAAAAGGATCAGTATAGATCCGAGAAGAGGACCCCTTCTGAGGTTTCTATTCAGTTTCGAAGAAGCTACGGGACAATATTTTACTAGAGCTGTACTGAGAGGCGAAAGTCTTTGGACGCTCTGCTACTTTTTGTTTTTTTCTATAACTTTCATTAATCCCCCCCCCTCCTCTTCCTCTTAATCGTTGGCTGATGTTAAGAAAATGCCCACTAATATCTGGCATCTGGCAGTATTGTTATTGAAAAGAAATATTGATTTGCAAGGAAAAAAAAAACATTGAAGGCGTCAGAATAAACCAAAATGAAACAAGGATGGTTCAGGATGGCCAAGATTGACACGGATTGAAAACGAAGCTCTAGAAAAAAGAATTAGAGCTAATTTTGAAATGGAAATCTTTCACGTAGCTCCTTTTAATTCAACGACGAAAAAAAGACCTAGTGATAATTTCATGGAAAGTATGCACGAACGATTTTTATGTACAAGTTGCGATGCATCAAAAAAAAAAAAAAAAAAAAAATCAATGAGTGATCGCAGCGAACGAGTGAGTTTTTTGATACATCGCAACGAGTGGATAAAATTTGTACCATCACTTTCCTTGGTAGGATGTTTTTATTTCTTACCTACTGAGATTTTTACGTACTGACCGACACATTTTAAAGTTTGAAAGCGAACAACTACGAAAATACACCGTTCGTCCAATCAGAGAAACGAACGATAGCGCTTCGCAGTGTAAATCTCAGCACGGATGAAATAACGAGTGATTCATTCTTACATCAATTAAGATTCTTCAACTGTTCAAAAACATACTTTAAGAATCATTGACTGAAATTACTGTTTCTAAAGCGATTTGGGAGTTGTTGTCGAAAGATGGAAAACTCCAACAGCTTAAGAACAGTTACCCCAAAATATCTCTTGGTTATTTTTTCCACTGATGACTTAAGTAGAAATACTCCTAGTCGCTTCATGCTACAGAAACCGGAGTTAAGCACCGGCCTAATCGGCCACTAGGCTCGTAAACAGACTTTACCTTTTACCTGAAAATTTGTAGGCTTTAAAATGGTTCCTGAACTTCAGTTTCCAAGTGCCTTCAGGATTTTCTCCCCAAAATTGCAGGCTAAGTATCGGCCAATTATTGAAATCTGTCGCAATTACGTCATTTGCGCGATATGGAAGGATTTGAGATGTGGTTCCACTAGGCGAGGTCAAGTAGCCTTCAAGGTAACCACGCCTGTCAAACCTGGCCTGAATTATAACGACCACGTGTTCCAAATATTGGATGGTGTTCTCGCCATTACAGTTAAATTTGGACACGTTCAGTGTCACTTCCGTGTCGCCATACTGCCCGATAAATCTGCAAAATGGAAGCATCAGTTGGTGTGACAAATTCACATTAGTTTTCAAAGGAGAAATTATAAAGCCCGACAGATTTCTTTGCTACACGTTTTTATCTTTTTTCAAGACTTGATTTTTTATAATCTTCAAAAGCGTTGCAATCAAGTTGAACTACCTTGAATTGTTTTTAAGTATAATGTAGCTTTGTGAAAGTGTACTTCCTGTATTAGATGTAACATAAGATATGTAATTTTATCTTTTGAACAATAAAGACACACTACTACTACTACTACCTAACAAGACAAACATAACTTTCATTTAACCTTTTCAATAAAAATAAGTACTAAAAGACAAAAGACTGCCCTTGATGAGGAAGATCTTAAAATAAACTACAGCACTCTTCCTCCTTGACATTTGTCCGCTGGCAAAGCCAGGCTTTTTTCCACTATGCTCAACCTTATGAAGGTAGAGATGCAATGCTGTTGAAGTTTTCTCTTAAAAGTTTTCATTATCACCTGTTCACTCTGGGTTGAGGAATCTCGCATTTGATCTGTTCTGGCACTGTATGCCACGACCTGGAATAGTTTACCAAAGCTGCAGCATCCATGAGTCCAAATCCAAAGTAACTACTAACTGTAAAAGACCAGCAAATAATTTCTCCTAGCTCTTCTTGCCAAATGTTAAAAATAATACACAACTGGACTCACTACAGAGCTCTCTGTGGCTCAGTTGGTGAAGCATCCGACCACAAACTCGTAAATTTCGGGTATGAGGTTCTAGTTTTGACGGGGTACTGTTGTCTTTTTGTGGAAGAAGAAGAAGTCCAACGGCGAAAGCGCTGGACTCCAGTTGAGTGATTCGAGTTCGAGGCCTGGCCCTGTCTTTGTGTTGAGTTCTATGGCAAGACACTTGATTCTTACAGTGCCTCTTTACACCCAGAGGTATGTGTTGCAGTTCAATTTTATCCTTGGTTCAAATTTTATTTTCCTTTGTTTCAAACTCATTATCATACATTAACATGACCGAGAACAAAGGAAAATAAAATTTGAACCAAGGATAAAATTGAACTACAACATATACATGGGTACTGGCCTACTGTTGAGAAGCTAAACAAATAAGAGCGGGTAGCCTCACGATAGACTGGTGTCCCATTCAGGGTAGCAACACGAATCCGGGTTGCTAAACGTTACAGTACCTATAGATAAGCTCTGGCTGAATGATTAAGAAAGACTAAGTGCATCTGTGCAAATACTCATATCCACTTGGTAAAGCTTCAAGGGGTAAAAAAGCACAAATCTGATTCTCCTCATGAGGCCTCCTTTAAAGTAAGGTTTTCTGTTTGAATGATAATCCTTGAAGACCCTCCCTTTCTATCTGAATGTCTGAACGTATCCAAAAGTAATCTCACCCCAAAGCCCAGCAGCATTTTGCATCCAGTCACCAGAACGAGGCACATCATGATTGGATGAATAAGCAATCAGATGCTGCACATCACGCCACGTTACCTCCGGACTGTTCAAAAGAGAAAAAGGAGATATAATCTGAGCGAAATGCGAAAAATGGAAGATTCAATGTTTTAATCATCTCCTAATAGACATTTGCTCGACTGGCTTCCCGCCACCTATTTCCTAGTAGGTATAGAACAAAAGAACCTTTACCATACGATGGGGGATCATTTTGAACTTTGCTTCCTTTTGATTAGAGATACCAGTGGCGGATCTAGGGAAAGGGCACGGGTGGCCCGCTCCCCCTTATTTTGAGTAAAACAAATAAACAGAGTAAACAGAGAGGGAAGAAAAGCCGGCAGGTGAGCCCACACATAAAAAAATGCCCCACCCAAAAAAAATATGGGAAAAGTTTGAAGCAGTGTTTATCTCCTTTACATTTGCACACATAGCATGTACATTAGTCATGTACACCTGACACCCTATAATCTTCAACATCAGTATCTGAATATCCTCTCTTTATTCAACACTTTTGATATAATGTATTTTACCGATCATTATGGCAGATATAGCTATAGTTGCTAAACAAATACAGGAAACATGATCTATGTCAAGCAGTCTAATGAATTGCGAGCCAAGAGACCATGTGTTTGTAAATTGTGTTCAAACAACACTTGCTCAGAGAGTAGTAATGCATTTTTGTTGAATGGTAATCTCCAGTCATCTCAGCAAAATTAATTGCAACACTCACTTGATGTGTGTTGTGTTGAAAGCTTGCTCTAATGTTCTTTCCTTCTCCAAGGTAGGACCTGTCGAAGTTGTCAAGTCTCTCCAACTTTATCAACAGTATAAACAATCTTGCTGCCAAGATTGGCTGTTTTCTTTTCACATATCTCACACATTCCAAACTGAGCTCTTGGTTTTATAACTGTGTGCTGGAAAGATGCACGTTTTTGTGGGTCAGAAACCGTTAACTCTTCATTTCAAATTATACTTAAGAGCTAACTTAGGAGCAATTAATTCAATTTTTCCCAAGAAGCCTCTGGAACCCAGGGTTGTCTAAGTGCTGGCTGCCAGCAACATTTGGCAAATGAAAAAGTGGCAATTTTTGGCTAGTTTTTTGGTGGGCGGTTGTTCTATAAACCACAACAGACTAGCTACAGTACACACTAGCGATCTTTCAATATCAAATGCTATCTTTGAGCTGCTGCCTCATTTGAAGTTTCAGCTGGTAGTCTAATTTCTAAGCGACAATTTTAGAAACCCTTAAGTATCGCTGAAGTCTTGTTTACTGTTGATAGGTGTTGTAGAATACGTTATAACCAGGGCTCGACACTAACTTTTCAACTTACTGGCCGAGTGGCTAGTGACATCTTAGATGTTTTTAGATGTTACGACAATTTCAGTCTGTTTACTAGCCAAACTGGCTTGTGGGAATTGAAAACCACTGGCCAAAACTGAATTTCTACTAGTCTGTGGCTAGAGGGCTACTGTTAGTGTTGAGTCCTGATAACACATTTGCGCTACTATTACAGGAAAAAGATTTGCATCTGGAGGAGCTGACAAAAGTGTCATCATCTGGACATCAAAATTAGAGGGTATTCTTAAATATACGTAAGTGATCATCATTTCTGATAAGTACTATATTAAGAGCCTAGTAAGTATGAACTGAGCTAAAGGTAGTGATAGACAAATACCCAC